TGTCAACTATGACGTCACAATGGAAGAATACGTCGCAAAGCATTGTTACTTGGCGTCATATTTAGAAGACTGAACAATGAGATAACGTCTAAAGTGTTACCCACAAAAATATGTACCAGCTCCTAGCAGGTTTATCAACTTAGACGGGATTAGGGGAACCCACAAAGTTTGTGGGAGAAATACATTTCCTTTATTTATTTGAACATAGAGATGTAATAAAGGTACCAAGTATTTATTTGACCATAGTTAAAACAGTAGCGTTTATATTAAATCATGATTTTTGTCTGAAAATTGTTTGTATATCTTTTTTTTTCAAATAAAGAGTATCCCTGCAGTCATCTTAACAAACAATAAGATTGATCGTTTCTTTCTTGTATTTTCGCTCAATCAGTGCTAAAATCTCATAACTACAGTTCTTGTAAATATGATAAATCATTTTTTCTCAGTTTGTAATTAATGAAAGGAAGGAAGTGTATATTTCTATTCCTAAGATGAAACATTTTATTAGTATTTTTGATAATAAATGATTGTGTAAGGTGATATCAAATCTCTTTCTATGCCTGCATTAATCCCAGTTCAGGTACTTCCTGTTAACCATTAATACAGTCACATCTTTACGGTTGATATCTACAATTCACTAGTACTTACACTCATATGTCTTCGTCTCAAGGGAGGGGGGGGCTCTGATCAGTTACAAGAGCCATGAGCAGCTTTCTAGGTTAAGGAAAAGCAGTGGTAGGAAATACATCTAATACATTACAGGTAATTTTCCTTTATTTAAATTCTAACCTCCGTTTTAGGCAGTGAAATTTTGCTTATCAGGTTGCATTTCAACTCAAAACATCAAAGCAAAATTTTATTGAAAGATTTTAAAATTAGTAAACAAATCACTTTGTTTCTTATTGTATTTGGTGTGTATTGTGTATAGTGTATCATGTTTTTGTCAAATTTAATTCATATCTGAACAAATTGGAGTAAATTTTTAAAAGATGCATAGTTTTATCAAATCATAGAGAATAATTTATAAGGACATAGGTCATCATAACAAGGATGGAAAATGAATATGATAACCAGGAAATAGCAAAGTACCAACAGATAATTTGATAAATGTCATATCAAATGTGAAAAAAAACCCATATACTAAAATCTATCATGTGAAAATGAATGTGTAATAGCTGCTGCTAATGTCTCTTTTAGTTAATTAGTCTCTGTGCTGAACCAAGCATTCACCAAGATTGACTTCTGGTGATACATTAATCAAGAGATGAATTAAAATTTTGAAGAAAAAATGTAATGGTGTAAAAACTTGAAAATGGGACACTGGTGAGCTGACTTACTTTCTCATAGATTTAGCAAAACATATTATACATGTCATAATTTTCAATATGGATTGTGGAATAAGCTGTTATTAAAAGTTATTTTGATAAGACTTTATTCTACATGTATATATATATATTTCTAGCTTATCTACTACATTGTACCATGAAAGTAAATATTATCAATATTTATCATTCCTGTAAGTTTGGTTGAAGACCAGGTATAATTATGCAGTATTAGTATAATTTAATGCAGTCATTTATAAATTATGACTTATGTACATGTGATTATCAATAAGATATTGTGAAGCACTACATGTATATAGTCATAATTATATATAATAATACATGTAATTGTAATTTGGATTCTGCATACCAGGTTTTTGTTACAAATCACTTAATTTATTTTTCCTTTTTTTACAGGAATGTTCTAGGTCATGGATATTAAGCAGAAAGCCTTATGTAAGAAGACACCAGGATAGAAACAAAACTCTGGACAATTTAATGTGAACATTTTTTCAAATACATAGGTCCTGTAAATGTGTTATTAATTTGATACATACAATTCATACTACAATGTACATACTCCAAAGACAAATATTCCTATCTTTGCTTCTTATTCTGTATTT